GGGGGGAACTCCCCCAGGCAAGGGCGGTAGTCGGGCCGCGCGCGGCGGAGGATGAGCAAATTCCGCGAGCGCGCCTCGTTGAGCGGCTCCACGGGCGGCATCAAATCCTCCCCTGGGAGGTGGTAGGCGCGAAGCCGCTGGATCGTGTTCAGGACGATGAAATCCCGACAGCGGTCATCCTTCCACGGGTCCATCTCGCTCAAGTCCTGGCCCTCCAGCACACTCCGCCGTACCGGCATCGGGCACCCGTCGGCGTCTGTCACGTGGCTTCTGAATGCTACCCCACCCAACCGGGATCACGTCGGGAATCCTAATCCAAGAGGAATCAATGATTCAATCTAATGTGGAGAAAATATATTAGGGTAGGTTTAGTAGGTACACAATTTCTTTTGAAGTGTGATTCAGTCTACATCTATAAATGGGCAGCTAAACACCCTAAGAACAATAAAATAGAGGAATGATGGGGGGGGAAATATATACATAAGACCACCTCTTTACAACCTGGGTGCATGACTTTCCCATTTCCAGCCATATTCGCATAGACCCATATGATGATAAAATTTAAATATTAATATTATTATAGTCACTGTCATGATAACAGGAAAAATATAAAATAAAAATGTCGACCCACCAGAAAGTGAATGCAGAAAAAAAAAAGACCGAAGTACCTTATTGGATTTTGGCACATGATCGGCAAAAAGTCTACCCTTTAATAAACGTTATGAATACATAGTAATCATTTTTTTGTACCTGGAAAAAAAACGAATAAAAAAACGTGATTTCTAAAAATATACATGAAAATATATGACACTTCATTAAATGTAACCTGTATAGACATAAAAAATGAAACTTTCTAAAAGTAAATAAAAGGATTAATCAAACACCATAATTAGTGTTCTAAAAGGCTCTTAAAACTTCTCCAGACACGCAAGAAAGAGGACGCGAGAAAATGACAAAAAAATAAGGTTATTGAGGAGGACCCATTCCCCATTATTGGATTAAATTTAATGAAAAAGAGATAATCCAAGAGAATATGGTATAACCACTCCCCCAGTTAACCCACCCCACACGCATACACAACGATAGTCTATCTTTTTCGCAATATTATGTTCTAAAACGCCAAAAAGATGCCTTATGCTCAGTGCAAAGAAAGACAAATCCATTAGATGTAGCCTTTCCAATATTTACACTGATATACGACACAGTACAGGTCTCATAAACACTCTACTCAGGAAAGGATCCTTTTGTTGTTAAATCAAAATAAATCCATTAAGTAATATTAATTAAAGTGAGCGTTCAAAGAGAAGGCAATATAGAAGAAAAAATATAGCTCTAAGAATACGTTGATATCCGGCGGGACTCCAGGTCATGGGTACATCATAAATAAGCATACATCAGAGAACACATAGAAGTCGAAGTGTTGTTAAAGCTATGTCACTAAACTTAACCTGTTTACCTCCAGACTATTGTGGCATTCGGATTAGATGCCAAAGCTGTTGGATTTAATGTTACCGTAAGATTACAGTCCTATTTGTCTTTGGCAATGATTCAAGATTCTGAAACCTGAAAGGGAGGAACCTCTTCATAGGCCCACAAAGGAAGTGAATCCATCTCGCCTGAAAAAATTTCATCAAGATTCAGAAAAAGAAGAGCCTCACGAGTCTCATAGAGATCGCTTAGTAAATTATATGGGTAGGAACATAATAACTCTTGGGGAGACGGCAACGCACCTTCCTCATGAATGACAATCATATCCACACGCATTCCGGATTCATTAGCCATAAGTTTAATATTGCGCACGCAGACCTCAGAGCAATCGAGAGCACGGATTAACTCACACAAAAGCTGATCACGAACAAACCGTGCACAAGACTGAAGAAGCTCAACCCAAGAAACGCCCTCAAAAAAAACTTTACAATAGCTGAAGGAAGGCTGAGATAAAAAAGTATAATCTGAAAGAAACTGAGCAGAACCAAAACTTAAACAGCTAACACGAAAGTCATAAAAAATTTTACAAATAAGAAAGTCCTCATCAGTAAAGGAATATTGATCAATAGAATTCAGGATATTGGTAAAAGAATACTCAGGTGAAGAAAACGATGGAGTATGAAGAGAAGAAATACCTTGACGAGAATAAGAAAATGGAATAAGATTTTTAGCGACAAGTGGAGACAAT